GTACCCTGAATTAGACAATGAAACTTTAGCTTTCATTGTGAAAAAAGGTCCTTCTGATTTGCAACAACAGCTGTTTGTTGGCCCTTGGCTGTATAACTGAGCACGGGGGCTTATAATGAACAAAGCAACGCTATAAAACAATGTTTTAATGTGTTTCTTTCTCTACATTTCCACTGCCTTCTGTTTGAGAAGGGCGATGTAGTTGCATATGTTAGTAGTTTTAACCTGGCCGGAAAAAAATAACTTCTAAACTGTTTTTTTCTTTTTCTTTTTTTTTTTTTTCAGAATTTGAAAAGATGATGCATTAGAATACAGCATGCATGTCGAAGAGAAGCATAAACTTTTTTTTTTTTTTTCCCTGGATTATCTACTTTGTGATGAGGTTTAATGATCCAGCAGAGTAAATAGCAATGTGTTAATTAGAAATTATGCTGAATAATCCACAGCAAACATTGCTGGAAATAACCAGACAGCATAGATCTATAATATAATCTTTGCTTAGACTTTTTTTTTTATTAACTGATGTCTAAAAATCAAATGAAACAAAATTCCTCAAAGGCCATACTGTTTTGGAATTTCTTCTTTATGGTGATATTTTGTTGCTGTTTCTTTATAGTGTTAACAATGTCTATTGGATGACTGCGAGTATGTGCATCTGGGAATCACGAGGAGAATAGGGCAATATTAGTGTAATTATGACGATCAATGATGAAAGGACAGCACTGAAAGTAAGGATTTTCCTCAAGACCAAATCATTTTAGCAAGCTTTTGACTCCACCTAGTGGCGACATGAAAAATTGTTCTAGTAAACGGATGAAGAAAGTAAGCTAAGAATGATATTTAAGGGTTCAGAATTCAAATAATATATTATATTTATTCTAAAAAAAATAAAATAAAATCAGGTATCATGCTGAATCATCTTAAAGAAATTGTATGTAACATCTCTGAATAACTGGTTGGTTTCAGATGACAATATAGCCCATGCATGAATACTTGTATTTATCAGCAACACAATGGGCTTCATGAGTCAAATATAAAATCATCTGAAATGCAGCGTGTACAGTTTAACAGTTTAATAAGTATTGAAGCTGTTTCATTATTGTAATGTAGCCTAGTGTGCTTAACCTTTGTAGAATACTACTCCACAACAGGATACACACACCAATACAGAACTGGCCATATTTATTAGCAGATGTGGTAAACATATGAAAAAAAAAATAATTTCAGCTTAGAGACCTATAGAAGTCAATTTCTTCTAGACGCTGTCTAATAATCTGGAGAAGTTTCTATATTTATAAAGACCTCTCACAGTAAGAAGGTAGTGTAAAAAGTTTGTACCAAAGGAAACCCCGCAGATTGCATGGAGCCAGTGACTTACAGCATTCACTCCTCCTGGATCAGTAGGGGGCGACAGCAAATCACTTGTGTTAAGTCATTGACTTTACAGCAATCCCTTATGCTGAGCATGCATGTAATGACAGTGGAGAGGAAAACTCCCATTCAACAGGATGAAACCTTCAACAGAACCAGAACTGGGCTAAGTACCAGCAGTAAGGGGTGCCGCTTGCTGCTGGTACTTTTTGTCATGGGGCCCAAAGAATCTTGGGCCCCATGACAAAAAGATAAATTGGGTCCGCATGTTGCATGCAAGTAGGTTGCTTGCATTTTTTTATTAGTTTTAGCTTATTGAAATGTCTCTCGCAGCAGTCAACATGCAAAATGAAAATAAAGCAATCCAGACCTCTCAAAAAATGCTATGTAGTTGCATTTCATTCAAGCTGCAGTATATAACTTCAATAAAAAACATATGTTTTCTCCATATGTGTTAAAGTTGTCACCATGTCATGTCAGTTTGTTATGAGACAGATAAAAAAAATCAATCTCCTCCACCTCCTCCCTGAGCTACTATTGCTAGCTAAAGTAATGCAACATTTCAGCCAAAAACAACCAATCCGAACTAGGAGGAGGGTCTTAGTGCTGTCAATCAACCTTACTCAACCTCATAAATATATTGTAAAAAGAGCAAAGACACAGAGAAATCCCTATAGACTCACTGGAATGATGCTACCTAGCTTGTCATCGAATACAGTGTCGCTCACCTTTTTCACTGGGACAAGGGTTAAAGGTTATGCTGGCATCAAGGTTAGAGCTGCTGCTGTCTGACTCACCTGTTGTTAAGTGTGGTAAGAGGTACAAGGACAAGTTAAAATATGTTGATAACTTTTTTTTCCTTAGTTCATTAGATGCTAGTGAAATGAAGGCAAACAGTAGTCTGTAGCTAAGCTAACTATGCTAAATGGTTGACAATCTCACCCAGTCTACCCACCTCTATTGGAGAAAATCTGGGTTACAAATAGACACTCTTGTCTTTTTCTCTCTATTTTTGTAAACCTGACTTTATTATTTTTCTTGGCAGCATAGTAACTGCCATGGTTGTTTGTTTTTTCTTTCTTTTTTTCATCTTTATTGATAATAAAGGGGTTTACAAAACAGCAAAATGGCCACAGTTGTTTTTGTCTTCTACTGACTGCTGCTGAACACCGTCACCGTTAAGCACGCCAAGTAGGAATGAACCATTTCATGCAGATATTCAGGGCAAATATGGATGTGTGCTTTTTGGTCTGGGAGGGGTAACATTTAATTTTTGATGCTAAAAACAGTTTTTAAAAACATAATATGACTAATTTTGTAATCATATTCCAAGGGCTTTGGGAATTGTATTAACTTTTTTTTTTTTATCATGGAAGTAATGAGTCTTATGTGAAAATGTAAGAACTAGAAAGTACAGATTTTTTTCATAAAATGTAGGAAGTACAAGTAAAAAGCCCTTAGAAAGATAAATAAAAGTAAAAGTACAGTACAAATACCTGAAAAATCTACTTAAATACAAGAACAAAGTACTTTTATTTTATTTATTTTTTTACTTTACAACTCTGGCTTGGTGACATAGAAAATGTGTGGGTTGAGAATTAGAGAAGAGCGCATAAGAGAGTTGCCCAGACTCTGGATGATCTAGAGAGATTGTGCAAAGAGGAGAGGTCAAAGATTTTCTCTGCAGGCTCCCACTTTATGAAACGTATACTGTAGGGAACAATACAGGGGTTTCCTGTTAGGAGAAGAGTTGCACAAAGCATTCACAGCTGGAATTTTGTTTAAAAAATATTTCAAGATGGAATTTCCCAACACTGAATATACTCATCTATGTAATAGTTTTATAAAGACATTTTCCAGTGAAATTGACTATTATATAAACACATTTATTTTGTGGCTTTTTAGTTGAGCCAATTAGAAATGCTTTTCCACATCTTTAATTGGATCAATTAAAAAAAAAGTCTGAGATATCTCATTCATTGTTCCATTAACTATTTTTTAGCTTTGTTTTCAAATAATAAAGAAATCATTAAATTATTCTGCTGCAGCAAGAAGAGCAAAGAGTCTTAGAGTTGAGACATTTTACTGTATGGTACCCTTTGTAAAGGGATGTATGGGCCTTTTACAAAGTTCTTTATAAACCATTTGTGCATTAAGAATACTTTGTTAGTTTGTATTTATGAGCTGCTTTCCAATATATTGAGTATTTCTCGACTTTTCAAGGTATATTTCATTACAAACTCATACATCTATTCTTATTCAACTCAGTCTTTATTCCCTAATTTTCTCACAGTTTTCCATAAGATCCAGTAAATTCTGACTGGTTACTATATTGTTTTTCTGAATGATTTTCAAAAGAGTATTCAGTTGCTGTGTTATATCAGGGTTTTTATGAATAACTTGTATGTTATTCTTTAGAATTTTATTAGTATAGACCAGTGTTTCTCAACCCTGGTCCTCACCGCCCCCTTGTCCTGCATGTTTTAGGTATTTCCCTTCTGCCACACACCTGAATTGTATCTCTGGGTGATTAAGAGGCTTCTGCAGTACTTGATGGTCATGCAATCATTTGAATCAGCTGTTCTGGAATAGAGGCACATCTAAAACATGCAGAGCAGGGGGGTGCTGAGGACCAGGGTTGAGAAACATTGGTATAGACAATGGTGTCCAAAGTCGGTCCTCGAGGGCGGGCATCCTGCATGTTTTAGTTCTCTCCCTGGTTTAACACACCTGGATCAAATGATGGCTCGTTAGAAGGCCTAAGAAGAACATTGACATGCTGAAAAGGTTGTGCCACCAGGGAGAGAACTAAAACATGCAGGATGCCGGCCCTCAAGGACCGACTTTGGACACCCCGGTATAGAAACAACATAATTAATATACACAGCTATAGTCAATAAATTATAATGTCACTGAAAATTGAATTTATTTCAATAACTCAGTTCACCAAGTGAAACACATTATTACACACAGACTGATGTTTTCATGCCTTTGCTGTTTATTATAATGGTTTTCCACTGACAGCTAATGAAAACACATTTAGATTATTACATTAAACTAGTAAAAACAGAAAATACAGAAATATGGGCTTAATGAAATGTATGTTTAATAACTACTTGATTATTATTTTCAAAAGATATTTTTGATCTAACAAACAAGCCCCATAATATTTTAATTTATTCAATATGACTCAATATGTTTTCCAAACTGTATAGTTGTATTGTATTATTATTATTTTGTTAATCTTTAGCTTGTGTACTGTAATTTGCCATGACATTTGATCTTTGTAAACACCAGTGGGTTATCCTTTCATAATATGACAGCAGTGTGTTCTTAGGCAGGGGCTTCTTCTGACCTGCTGTACAATGAACTGCTACTACTGGAGATCCCACCTGTCCAGAATCATCCGTAATCACTTTGAAAAAAATGTGTATATAAGTTACATTAAGTTTCCCTTTCAGATTGGAGTATTTTAATATTGTAATTGAATCAATGAGATTAAATCCAGGAGAGGCTAGTCTAACATATAAATAAAGATGTATCTCTTTGAGTAAAAACAAAGCAAGAAATTGTATTTGTGGAAAGTGAAAGCAGACCCCCCCTTCCCCCAGCCCCCCTCTTCCCCTCCGTCCAGTCACCTATTTAATAAATGCCCACGCGCTTAATATTCATTTAACCGTCCATGGTTGCAACTGTACGTCGAGGAGCCTGGAGCTTTGGCAAGTTCAACCTACCGCTATTTACTAATTTTCCTGAACAAATGAATAGCTGTGTACATTAAGCGGCTGAACATATATTCCGCTTAGAGTAGACGTTTGGTCCAAAACTTAACTGTTATTAGCCTCAGCTACCGGCTAAGTTAGCTCTACGTAGCCGAGAAAGCTAACGTGACTAACGTTTGTTAACGTCCGCAATAGAGGGGAGAGCATTGTGACTTGGAGGAAGGAAGGAAACTTGATAAGCGGGATCACTGCGTACTGCTGCTTGTGCAAAGCTAGCACACTTTCAGACCATTAGCTTCTTACTGTGACGCGTTCAGAAAAGGTGGTCAAATCTAAGTACACGGTGTGATATTTCACACTGCTTAGCTTATTAGGTATGTTGATTTCCAAACATGTTGGCAACGCGTCGCTTGGCTAGTTTGCGGTTTCCTAGAGCTAGTCCGTTAGCAACAAACTTCTGAAAAAGTTGCTAATCCACTTTGGCTTTTTGACTATCATAGGAAATATAAGAAGATCGGAGTATTTTTCTGAACAAACCCCCTCTGAATCGCGTCAGCACCAAGGGAACCTAGTAAAAGGACTCATGGCATCGGACGTGAAAGAAAGTGAAGTGTTGCAGGGTGTAAGTAATACAAGTTTGAACAATAGCGACTCAGACTGTGTCACACCCAGCAGGACTGATGGGGATTTGGGAAACAGACAGACAACTAGTCTCTCGTCTTCCGGAGAGTCGAGAATGGAGAGTGACCAGGATTTACAGGGTAGCTCAGCCTCAGCGTTGGAAAATCGCGAAAAATCTCGTCGAGAAAATGTGACCAAAACAAGAAGGACAACGCCAGGAAAAGTGCAAAAACAGTCTGGAGGAGGAAGCTCTGCCCCGGTTAGCCTTCCCAAGCCGCATTCACCGCCAGAAGCATCAGGAAGGTGTGTATTGATTAAACTGTTAACATGTGTGTAATTTCACATCCCACCAGAATTTAAATCAAAATAACTGGTATGCATCTTTTTTAAACATTTTCGGAAGTTTGTTTCTTTTTTCTTTTCTTTTTTAAGCTAGAAATTCTTCAGTGCCAGTTAACCTTGTCAGGTGTCTTGAAAGAAAACATTTCTGTCAGGGCGCAGATCCCCTTTTAACCGTACCCATTTTTCATTAGTCTGCATGTTTGTTCCTACATGAACTTCCCCTTATTCTCGCTGTTGAAAATGTAACAAAAATAGAGATTATTTCGAAATTAAGAAAGCATAAACTCGTTTAGGAAGGTCTAAAGAATTCGCAGCATGATTTAAATTCCCAAAGACATAAATTCAGCTCATGCAATTTATAACAAGCTGGATTCAAATTGCTACTCAAAAATTGAATGGCATTAAAGAAACAAATTGATTTCTCAAATTACAGTTTACAGCAAAATATTTATAGTGGAATTCCTTGTACTTGTCTGTTCATCAGGTTTATTTCTCAGAAGGAGCAGAAAGTAATAATTTCTAGTTTAAAATCATGCAAACTTAAAAACTTGCTTACTCAATATAGATGATGCTCACAGCTAAAAGTCAATGGAAATAAATTGATGAGAAGCATTGAAGCTCTAACTGGTGATATAGGTTTCCAAATGATGTCATTGCAGTTTTACTTAGTAATTCCAAATGCTGCTTCTTTTATAAGACCTCCTAGTACTGTGAAAGTACTAGGAGGTACTTTCTCTAACTATTTTGCTCCCATTTCAATGATTGTTTTAAAAATAATTTCGAGTCCCATCCATCTACACAAGCATTTTCACTGAACTTTTACTTGGACAGCTACAGTTAAATCACAAGAATGCCATACTAACTGAAATGATTCCAAGCGAAAAGATCTATCCAAATTGAATTCTTTGATATGTTGGGGTTCAAATTCTGATGTAATCAGATTTAGATGGGTTTATGCTGATGTTAGAGTGGTAACTATTGGGTTCCTGTGACCAGACTGGTTTTAGCAGTATTTTTATAGCATATTGGTTATCTTTAAACATGTGATAAAAATAAATTTGACAATGACTTTATTTGATGAAGCAAAGATTTAAAGAGGCAGTATTATGTAAAATTGACTTTTGAGTTTTACATCATGTTTTAATTATTATTCCCTCATCAAACACATACATGGAGGGTTGCTTTTTTGTTTTTTTTGTCAATCTTGTTTGAGGAATTCTTTAATCTCCAGTGGCAACCATTCATAACAAATCACAGTTGGTGTTTTGAAGAATCTAAGCAGCATAAAATAATTCAGTAAGACTTTGACCAGTTCATATACTTTCTATGCATTTTGTCCTAAGGAGGTCATAATGCTGAAAAAAGCTCTCTTTAAATTCTTGCAACAGAATAAAGGTTTCCTAAATATTAAAGTGTGTTTTAAATAACTTCTTTAAAGTGCTGCTTCTTTGTTTCCTTCCTCATCATTCCTTCTAGTTTTTGGTTTCTGCTGGTACCATATGCAAACTCCCATTATACATCTGTCAAAAATTCATACCAAGTGTATGAATTTTACATTTTAAGATGAACCTACCAGAAAAGTATGGGATTTTACATGTATGGGAACACCAAAACCTGTAAGAATGGTTTAGGTCATTTCTATTCTACAATTATCATTGTTTACAATATTTACAATTCACCACAGCTTTGTACTCTGATCACCTGAGGAAGTAGGTTTTGTTTTTCTTCCCGCTTGTGCATATCAAGACAAGCGGTAAGAACTTGTAAGAAATCAGTGCACATTTTAAAAAAAATAAAATGTCAGATGTTCTGTGTGGGGAAAATAGGTATTGGATTTCTAATGAAATCACAAAATGGCACATTATTGTGTTTGACATCTCGCACAGACATCTTCACAGTTTAACTTCACCTTTACATTTCCATATAAATAGACATTGTGTGGCGACTTATGCAGCTTTATGTAAGCTCAGTGTTGTGATTCAAGTTTTACTTTTTTTTGAAGTTTGGCTTCCTTTTGCTAAAGTAGCTTACGATTAGTCTTTCCACTTTGTCTGCAGTTTTCCTTTGAAGGAAGCAATTTACCTATTTCAGCTGTTGGGTTGTGTAGATATTGCCATTTCTAATCAGATGCCTAAATGGGTTTATTCTGACATTAAATGCCAAATCTGTGGAATTTCTGTACAAGCACAAATGCATTGTTGTAGCCTATTAAAGGGGGCTCTGTATAACAGCAATACAGATTCCACATTTATCATTAGTTAGGCGTATGGCTTATAAACTGAGCTCTTAGCAGAAGCTGGTAAGCTTTCAAATGGCAAAATACCTGATTAGGAGACCAGTTACAAGCTGAAGCTTTTGACTTGATGCTTAAACATGGGACTAAAAGAGTATTGTAGGATAATTGGCCCCACAAAGCGTCACATATGAGTATTGTGGTGCTTTCTCATGAATGGTGTTGTGGTTACTCTCCATGTATTACTTCAAGAGGCTTCTGAATATTAAATCTTATGATTAACCTACCTATGCACAGCAATAATTACTTTCATTTAAAATTTCATCTGTTTTATGCATAGTAGGGAATCAGTTTAACACAGTGTTTCTCAACCCTGGTCCTCACCTGGATCACAGCTGCATGTTTTAGGTATTTCCCTTCTGCTACACACCTGAATTGTAGCTCTGGGTGATTAACGGGCTTCTGCAGTACTTGATGACCATGCAATCATTTGAATCAGCTGTTCTGGAATAGAGGCACATCTAAAACAAGGAAAGCAGGGGGGTGGTGAAGACCAGGGTTGAGAAACGCTGGTTTAGCACATCAGTTCGGTTTAAAAGGAAGCTATACAACGTAGACTTTCAAACTTGCTAATTTTCTTTGAGACTATCAACAGAGATGGCTTTCAGTGAGCCTGAAGGAAGGTTTAATTTACCTTAGACTTCAGTAAAGGCTAAATTAGTCCCAGTTTACTTGATGAAATGATTTTATCCTCAGTGCACCAGTGTCTTTAAAAACAGGCTCCTAGTGTCTGACTCAGTAACCCCAAAACAAACAGCGCTGTGGTATTTTGGCAAATGAGTTCAACTTTAAGGCTTCCTGACTAATCCCATTAAGACTGTATGCATCACCTTTAAAAAAAATGACCAATTATGTCTTTACATTTTACAGATAATCTGTGGTGGCTCACTCTTGAACTTTGCCCATTTTATTCTACAAAAGTCCTGTTTATTAGCAATTGGGTTCAGTTAACTATGAAATGTTGAATTCTTGTTTGTCTCTCCCCTCCTCCACAAGCAGCTTGGAGCGGCAAGAGTCAGTCGCCACTACAGAAGCTCGTCTGAGAATGGAAGGAGTTGAGCTGAAGGAAGAGTGGCAAGATGAAGACTTCCCAAGGTACTGAGATGCCCAGATGCAGTATAAAATGTTTTATGCATAGTCCCTTTTGCCCACATTATGGGTAAGAATTTGAAAATCAGAAAGTACTAAAGTTAAGATTATTAACTTATTTTTCATCAGGCCCCTCCCAGAGGAAGAGGAGCTTGATGAGTTTTTTTCTGGAACCTCTGAAGAGAGAGACCCTGGTAATCATAACTTCATATTACTGTACAAATAACAAAAAAATCTGAACTTTTTAAAATGTTATTTCAGGTCTTCCTAATTTTAAAGTTAAATCTTTGAGGACTCCTGAGTCTTAGTTGGACTTTTTCTGTTTTTTTTTTTTTGTTTTTTTTTTTTAATTTTCTTTTTTTCAAAATATAATTTCTTAGTCATTGCATTCAAAATGAATTATTTAGTCTATTTTTAAAATGGCTGCACATATTATAGAACTACTAACAGTTATCTGTCCCAGGTTATGGAGAGGACCAAAGCAAGAAGGCCAAGAAAAAACTGTCTGCTCCAGACATGAGTTTGACTCTGGACCGCAGCGAAGGTTCTCTTCTCTCTGATGAGCTGGAGGAAATTACAGATCTGGACCTGGATGACATGGAGACGCCTTCAGACAACAGCAATGAGTTTGAATGGGAAGGTAAAAAGCACTGTGTTGGTCTTATGATTGTTTCTTGTAACACCGATTATTTTACTTTTCCTTACTAACAGAATGGCAACGTAACCCCAGTAAACCTAGTGATGGAAAAAGTGATGAACTCTTGGGAACATGCATGTAGGGCTCTGCGGTAAATAGATTTTATCGATTGAGTTTTTTGAAGATTTCAGTTTTTTTTCCCCCTCCTTGATTTCCATAGTTCAGAGTGTTGTCAGCCTAGCCAGGGCCTACCAGCTTGGTTGTCAAGTGTGTTTCACTGCTTCTATTTATTTGAACTTTGAATTCAGGTCAACTCGCAGAAAGAATAATAGAAATAAAAACCAGCTTTTGTAAATACTTTTGTAATTTTTATTTTTTTTTAAGAAAAATCAAGAAAATCTACTAAAATTGAATTTGGTATGAAAAATCAGATTTTATATTCAAGCTTCATCACCAGTGCCTACATGCGTGTGAGATCTTGTTATGAGAAGCTAGACTTCAGTTTTGAAATGAGAAGCTGCCTGGTCTCGTTTTGCTAAACTTCATCTATAAACATTGTCCTTCACAGACTTTTTAGGGGTTTTTTTTGGTAGCTTACCTCCTCAACTCTGTTTAAAATGCTGTTTGTTGTTCTTGTTCCCACATTGCTGCATTCCTCTTTCTCACTTGGAAGAGTTGTTTCCTATGTCTGCCTGGAAACAGGCTGCAGCCCAACAGCAGGTTTTTCTCTTCCTGTGGTAAGAGTTCTTGGACAGACTTCATTTATGTTTTACAAACCACAAGTAAATCAAATCCTTTATCCCAATCATCTCTTCACTTGTTTGAACGTACTTTCTCCCATATGTTATATTTCTTGCTTTTATTTTGATTATTTTTGCCTCGTTTTTTATTTTAAATATTCATTTTCTAAGGTACTAAGTTTATCACTTCAGAAATGGTTTATTTTCAATATATTCACTATCTTACATTTTCTCTTAAGGGCATGCATTTAAATAAATCCTGTAGATTCAATGATAATAGCTCGTCTCTTACTGGAAAATATGGACCAGATAAGGAGAACACAAATCAATATTGAAATTTTAAATTTGGTGTGTATTGTAGATGGGCTTACTGTATAAACATTCCCATATAAGTGTTTCAGTTGAATTTATTTGTGTAGTTTGACTTTGATCATCCAAATACTTGTCTCAAATGTTGAAACGCCGTGCGGCAATAGATGTACAAAATACACACAGAAGTTCCTAGGGTGTTTCTGGGAAGAACAATTCGGTGCAATCAGGTGTTTACATACATTTATATCAGAATAAGTTTTTTTCCACACTGTCTGAAATTAAATCGGACAGAACAGGTTTGTCACAATAACTTTTGTTGGACAATAAATTGTGCCACAAGTTATTGCAATAAATGGTGATGTTTTGAGTTAGAAGTAATATGTTTACAGCATAAAAATGTAAGCACACAGTCTCAAACATTAATAAACTTTAATTTGTAAAGAACATTTAAACCTGGAACTTGGTTAGGGACATTTTTTAGTTTTGATTGCTTTAGCAGAATATTCCTGTTACTGACCTCTCAGTAGTTTGTAGTAATTTTGGCCAATTCCTCCCAACAGACTGGCTGAAACTGAGTCAGGTTTGCAGGCAGCTGTGCTAACAGACTCTTTATGTCCTGCCCACAAATTTTCCATGAAACTAAGTATGTAAATATCTTACTTTTAGTGTTTGTCAATTTTAGTTGTCATGTGATGTTTTGTGTGCATTATGAAAAAAATACTTTTTTTTTTTTTTTTCCCCCCCTTCATCTTCCTAATGAGAGGTTTGAAAAGAGATGATGAACTGCAGCTATGATTGTTGGATTTTAATCTGAGAGCAAAGCATGTTAAGATGCACATGATCAACTGGATGTAATTGGCGCATGAGGAAAATGATCTAAAGATTTGAATGTATACTTGATGAAAAATGCTCTGATTTTAATCGCACAAATATTGAATGGCTTAATTTATTCGTTTGCTAAAATATACATTTAGTTACTTTTTTTTTTTTCTTTCAGATGATCTTCCTAAACCAAAAACCACAGAAATACTACAGAAAACTGTCGATTCAGTCCAGGAATATTCAGCCACAGAGGAGCGGGAAGAAGGACGACGATGGAGGATTTTCCGTTTTGGAGATCAAGATCACAGAGTGGACATGAAGGCCATTGAACCTTACAAGAAAGTCATCAGCCATGGGGGTCAGTGTAATCTTACTGCCATGCACAAAAGCACAATGACTTGAGTTTGATGGTTTTAGTATTCCACACACAAAAAACATTTATACATGTTTGATATGTTGTCTGCAGGTTATTACGGAGACGGTTTGAATGCCATCATTGTGTTTGCTGTTTGCTTCATGCCTGAGAGCGGTCAACCAAACTACAGATACATCATGGATAATTTATTCAAGTAAGAGTCTGTGAATTAATTGGCATCTTACAGCTGGTATTTGAAACTATTACTTAACATGTGATTTCTTCTCCAGGTATGTCATTGGCACACTGGAGCTGCTGGTTGCTGAGAATTACATGATTGTGTATTTGAATGGGGCAACATCTCGGAAAAAGATGCCAGCTGTTGGCTGGCTCAGAAAGTGCTACCAGCAGATCGATCGCAGGTAATTCAGCACAACTCTAAAAAAGATGCTGTTGTCATAAGTAGAATAAAGATGTCACCATTTTCGTTTAGGCCACTTAGGAGAGCATGGTTAATTTGAGCTTTCTTAACCTCTGAATGGTCTCTTTGTATAGGTTGCGGAAAAATCTAAAATCGCTGATAATTGTCCACCCCTCCTGGTTCATTCGTACCCTGCTGGCACTCACAAAACCCTTCATAAGGTATGTTGTGGGTATAAATATTAGAAAAATTGAAATGATTAATGCAAAAATATTTGTATTGTGCCTTTTCTGTTTCCTTCTGCAGCTCCAAGTTTTCTCAGAAAGTCAAGTATGTGTACAGCTTGAAAGACCTTGCTGAGCTTGTCCCTATGGAGTACGTGGCCATACCGGAATGTATCAAACAGTGAGTATTCAACACACGAACGCCGTTCAGTTTAGTTTTTCCAGTTAAATTTATAACTTTTTGAAGGTTGAATTCTCACTCTGTTTTCAGTAGAAACAAAATGCAGGAGAGGGTATAAGCTGCTAAATCTTCAGCAGTTGCTTGAAGATGGATGGGGATACCCTCTGCACAAATAATGGTTGTCCTGGCAACAGATTGTCCCACCTGAGCTGAGTCTTTACAGCTCCTCTAGTGCTACCATGAGCCTCTTGGCCGCTTCTCTCAATATTGCTCTCCTTCTCCACAACTTTCTCCCTGACTTGTCTGATGTGTTCGTTGATCTTCATGATGCTGCTTGATAACCACTATAAAATAATCCAGCTGTATTTATACTGAGATCAAAGTAGATAAGACTGGTTCCGTTTCTGGTAAGTCCACTTGTGAAGGCAGGAAGGATTTTATTTGGCGTAATACACATGCAGAGCCAACCTTCGACTTTATTTGTAAAAGAAAATTATGGATTGTTTCCTTTCACTTAGAGCAACACAAAGTTGTAATTTTTTATCACATAAAACTCAACAAAGTTTGTATCATTGAATGGAAAAAAAAGTGGAAGAAGGCAGCTGCCAATACAAAGTGTTGAATTGCATTTTGTTTGCTCGCTACTCAACCAGACACATCAGCATGTTCTAGTCGCTCAAAGGCGATCTCCTACTGCTTCCAAAGTGTTGAATTTCAGTTTCTTTTTGCTACACTGTTACATTCCTCTTTGTAGTTATTACTCACTTTTACATTCTCCTCAGACTTGTAGAGTAAGACTGTCTACTTCATTTTTTAAATATGTTGTAAGATGTTAAAAAAAAAGATGGCGCTAAGCTATGATTAAAAGCACTTTTAGCCTGCACCGTCGGTACACAGTTGCCAGTTATCAATGTGTTTTTTTACGTCAACAGTTAGCTGGTTCCACTTCAGTTTACAATACGGCACTTCGAAGGATTGTTGTTGGATGCCGATCATTGAAAAATCATGATCTGCATTAATGTAGACATTAGCTTCAAATTAGAGCAAGCATTTACTTCACAAAATTCTTTAGCACTGGGATGAAATCTAAGCTCTAACAGCTTAGATCTATCATAAAGCTTTTTAGGTCTGGGGAAAAAAGTAACAATAAAAATGTACAATTTGTGTCTATACAGTAGGAAAAATATTTGTGAAATCTTGTGAGTAGATGAAACGCACGTAGTCTTCATGTTATTAGTCTCCACTGTTTTTAAGATACTGCTCAAAAACTCTGAGAATCTCTGCACGTTTTCTCTTGTTGGTTGTTGTCTACATTTTCTCTGCTTAAACCAGTTTTCCTGCCCCTCTTAAGGTTTGATGCCGAAAAAAATAGGAAAAGCAATAAAAGGTATTTGCTCTTTGACCAAGGGTCAGTTTCTGCATCCTTTTGCATTTCGTGAAACTAACAATAAATTGATCAGATAGCTTGCAGAAACACACCAAGACACCTATTCTCTTAAAGGAAAGACAATCTCCTCTGCAAATCTCAACTGATGTGATTTAAATTCCAAATAAACAGACTGAATGATTGTCTGCTCATTAAAATGGGTGGCTTGGTGAATGTTTAACCAGCTAAATTATTGTCTGAGCCAGCAATGTAAAGTTAGCAGCATAATCTTATTCTACATGTTTTTTTTAATTGTTTACAAATACTGTCGATCTTTACATTTTGCAAAAGGCTTTTTGTATTTCAGAATATGCATTTTCTTACCCAGTTTAGAAAGTAATGCAACAACTTTAAACAGTTTATATTAAAATAACTGTGCACAGATTTTCTTGATGTCACACTTACTGGCACTTATTTCTTGTTTAAAAAAATGCCCAAGAAGTGAACAGGTTTAGAGTTGCTGCAGTTTATATTTGGTAAGTTTTTCTCCAAGTTAGTGCCACAAGGAACTAGTTTGTCCCCGTCATTGTGGTGTGTGTGGTTGCACTGTTTCACATTAACCGTGTCCTCACATGGTTGTCAGTAAGTGGCCCTCACTGAACGCCCAGCTTGTTCACGCTCACAGCTTCTTGCATGACTCACTCCCTGCACTCCTGCTCCCCACTGATGTTTTGGTAAATGGATCGTTTGTCAGCTTTCCTCTTGCACTCGGAAATGTACTGCTCTTTCCTGATAAGTGATTAATGTTCAGCTGCTGCTGTAATTGGTATAACTGATTGAAAAGTATAACGTAATTTAACTGTGAAGGACAGTTTTCAGTTTATAACCCATTAAAACAAAAGTTCTTGTGAGGAGTTGCACATTACAAACTTCTTGACATTAAGACTAACAGGCTCCTAGAAATATTAAGGACTTATGCACATTTCTCCAATTCCTTCATTTTTCATTAGGTTGAAAATGGCCACCTATCAAAAAAACTTGCAGCTTTGTTCTGCTTTTATTTGGAGTGAAATTGTGATGAGTCCAAATCTGAATCAGTAGGTCAGACCTCAACCAAAATTGGCCTGATTGATACATACAGCTAAAATCCATTTGAGACGCATAAAATGCATTAATTTGATTTACTGCACTTTCCAATAAGCTGGAAGATGGATGTCCAGTAAATGCATAGATTGGTCCTTAAAAGACACTTGCGTGTTCTCGAAGGAAATCAAAACATTGCTATGGACACTTGGTATTGACTTTCTAGGGGAACTAAAATTTATCCATTTTTAGTGAAAGGTATGATTTGAACATTTTCTAAATGTGAATCTTTGGGTCAAGCCAAAAAAAAAATCAGTTGACCAGCAACGGCCTAAAATGTGTTTTTGAAAGTCTAAACTGGCTTGATCCACCATCTTGTAACAAGCTGCATATGGACAAATTATTGAATTTTAAAACGGAGATCTGAATGGACTCTGACTTTTTTCTTTTTTTTTGGGAGGGGACATTTGAGACAGGATTTTTATTTTTCTTACATTTATCCCAGTCTGAACACATTTCAGGGTGTGATTCCCAAAAGGTTATATTTTTAGAGGTCATTGTTGTAAGCTGATCCTGACTGATTGCATCGATGCCTCCCCAGACTCACAGTTGACTTCTGAATGTTTCTGCAGAGTTGACCAGGAAATATCTGGGAAGGTGGAGATGGCTGCTGCTGCTGTTCCTGAGTGACCATTTCACAGCACCACATGAGGAGTCTCAATCTCTCCAACTCCTGTCCTCATGTTTAGGTTCTGCTCAAAGTTACAGGAAATTTTTTATTTTTTTTATTTTTTTTTTTTTTTTGCACCTAGAGTGCATTTTTTTAATCTATGCTGTTTGTTACATTTTCAGACATTTTTGCTGTATTTTTTCTTATCAAACAACCTAACCCTTAACTTTGCCCAATATTTGCTGTTTGAAATATTGTAATTTGCCTTTTAGTCCCCCATGTTAAGTCACACCTGTTTTCGGTTTTAGTTAAATCCTCACTATTTGACACTTTATTACAAGTGGTTGCTGCATGTTCTGCTTTGTTACATTGAAATATATATTTATATTCAGGGTGTTAAAGGAGAGAAATTTAATATATTTTTATGAACTGATTTTTAAACTGCAATTTATAGGTGTCAAACTCACAGAGTGGCATTTTATGTAAAGTGTCGGCAGCACCTTTTTTCCACTGTTCATTGCTGATGTTCTGTTAAAATTTCACCTGGGGAAAATAAAGCTTTATATTGTTGGCCCTCACTGGGATGTGCCCTCTTGTTGTTGGAGAGCCTGAAACAAATTGGATTAAATATCCATGTATACAGGGTTTGTGGAAAATTGAGAAGTAAATTTGTCTAAAGATGTTGCATTTTATTCAGTTATGTCTTGCATATGTACACTGGTTGTGTTAATGCTTATTCTGTCAACCAGTTTCTTTTTGAAGTGGTCAAGAAGCAACCAGAGACCGTGTTAATCGTACATCATCTACTTTTAGCTCAAAGTTTATAATGGGGTTTTTCCTTAAAAACAAATTTTAACTTGCCAACATGCTGTCCAAGCCCCGATTATGATTAATGTATAAAGTAAGACGACAATGGAGAGGTTACCGTCTTGTGCCCAGGTTGCATGCTAGAATGACCAAATGTCAGCTTATTAAATCAGCTGTACAAACTGTATTAAAGGTGATTTTGTAGTTCATGTAGGACTTCAATCTAACGGAAGAAAAAAAAAAGTAAACTGTATTCATACATAGTTGTGGAATTCCAAAAATGTTTACCACTTTGGAGATTATTGTAGTTATTGCCACAAATGAAATCCACAAAATGTGCAGATTTGATTGAAATTCAAGATTTGGAACATTGCATAAGAAACTGAATACCATTCTGACACAATAAGTAAAGTTTAAAAAAAAAATGTACACCTGTGCTCTGCTAGTAAGCTAGCAGCAGTAAGCAATTGCATTTTATTTGCCTAATTCCTACAAGACAAATTTGCACATCAAACGCATTACAGATAACATTACAACTGTAATAAAATGTGTTTAACAGCCAGTAATAAAAATTTTAAAAAATAACACACTTTATTTTTGACATTTCACTGATGATACCGACCTTGTATGTTTACTCGGGGTCATCACCCTGTGAGAATCTTAAACCAGCTAATACCAATCGGATGTTCTATTGCAATAAGGTACGAAGCTTCTCAAACTTCACCTGCTCTGTTTGAAAAGAAAACTATATACATTTTAGATTCTACAAGAGGTTTGGATATTGCAGAGAACGCAGGGGGTCATGACCCGAAGCTTTGAAACGCAGAACTGACTCCAAACACCTGATGGAAATGTCATCGACTTCTGGGTCAAACTTATTTGCAAAGAGGTGCTGCTGTCTCAGGAGCCACAGGAGGTCGCCGGCGCCATACACACACACGGCTCTCCTGTAGGTCCCCGTACACGGATAGTACGGAGCTCCTTTTTTCACGTCTCCTGTTAAATAAGACCACTTGACGACTCGGGCGAGAGCCAGCATGTCTGACGTGTCATATTTGCCGTTTGGGGGCACTGATCCAGGAACCGAGGACATCCTCTGCAGGGTGGCCCACATGTGTTCGTCTGGACTGTATGTGTCTTTTTCCCATTCCATGAATTTCTGAACCTCTCTGTTCTGCATCACGTATTTCACAAAGGCCCTAGAGACCACAAAGTAGGCGTTTCCTGAGAACATTGGGCTACTGATGGGCGGCGGGCTTTTTCTCACGTCTGTTCTGATGACGCCGTTGGTGACATTGTGGTGGTACTGCCAGCGACCTTTCTTGGAGACACTGGTGACTTCAGTTTCCATGCTGTTCCTCCCATTGAGGACTTTCAGAGCCATCACCATCTCCCTATTGGTTTTGATGGGAAAGTCTGTCCCACAGGTATTCAAAAGGTATTTCCACCGAACTTCAGAGTGCAGCAGATCTTTCATGCAGTTCAGATCTGCCTGCACTCTGGACCATGAAGCATACACGACACTTTCTAATTTACTGGCTACAAAAACATTGGGAAAGCAGGAAACTACTTCTTTCACAGCCCTGTGAAAAGACGGGGAAGACTTCTGGTCAATATGGACGCAGTAGATGTTCTGCGGAGCATAAATAGATCGTAGGAGTCGTTCAAACATCTCTATCTTCTCGTGGATCACCATGGAGTATGCAATAGGAAAATTTAGCTCCTCCTCACTTAAAGGCACTGTAACGAAGCCTCTGTTCTCAATGTAAGCTGCACAATCCTTTGTTGCATTAATGTAGAAATCCTCAGAAAGAGTTGTTTTCTTACTCCTGGATGCTAGAAGCTCTTCTACTTCAGCCTTGGTGCCCTCTACATCTCCAGTGATGATAGCTAAACAGCCAGGCAGGTCAGCGGAAAACTGCTCCGGGATATGAAATTGAGAGGGCGAACTTCTGTCAATGGCGGTTTCCCAAAAAACAAAGGAAAGGAACAAACAAGCCAGGCTGAGAAAGGTGATCCACAAAAAAGTCCACCTTTTCTGGAGCTTTCTGTAAGTCATCTCTTTGCTCAGAGGCGACAGGGCAGGTGATCTCTCATCAATGCAGTTTACAGTTTGAAGGAGATTCTGTGGTACTTTATCATCCCTTTGTGGAGGTGTGTCCGATAAGATCTGAAAGGGCGGATTGACTAACGCTGCATCCTTGTCGATGATTAAATATTATCACATTGCTTACGTGAATGTAGAATTTCTAAGGAAGTTAATGTGTATTTTGTGTAGTTGTCTAAGGAGTGTCGGAACAATTAAAGCTAAATTATACAAATTTATTCTGGAACATTCAGTTTCCCAGATACTCCTTTTTTTAATGTTAATTATAAAAAGAAACAATACATTTAATCAAATATGAAGGTAGTTTTTCAGTCACTGCTCACATGTCTTACTAACAGTGTGCATTATATAGATACAGGCACTTTGTAGGATCTCACAACTAAAACACAAAGAAAAAGAATACAATCGCTACAGTTCTGGCCAGATTTCCACATGCAATCTTCAAGGACAAAATGTTTTATTAATTTTAATGTTGCATTTAAATAATTGCTCTTCCAGAGTGGAATTATTCTACAACATAAAATTTCTGTGATTAAAAAAAAAAAAAAAAATTAGAACATGTACAAGTTTGGATTTATTTGGGATTTTTGCCTTATGTACACAGTGCAGAAACATTTACATGCACACACACTAAATTTTCTTTAAATGACCCTCAGCAGGTTGGACTGTTACCAAACCTTTTTTACACCATTACCAAGCTTCTGGCACAGACTACAACAAGCATCATGACAGTATATGCAAATATTTGTGGGAATGTAAGAGATTATCTGCAGTGTAGAGAAATTCCATCACAAATTCAAACTTGTGCATGCAGCTCTTGTTTTAAAAATTATTTCAACTTTAAACAAAAATCATGTTCAAATAATCATTAAAAGCCTCAAATTAACACAATGATTACATGTAAACATCTGTAAATACATCTCCATGTCTTTCTAAACATAAACTAAACTACTCTTTTAAACCAAACTTTACAGTTACAATCAGTCAGCGACCGTACGCCGTGGCATGGACGCATCTAAGACTGATTTCCGATGACATCTTGGTCTGCGTCTGTGTCCTGCTCAAGGATGAAGCTGTAGCGTCTATAAACCGATCCGCCTCGGCTGGTGTAAACCACATCTACCTCGTCGCCGCTGTCGGGCTCGGGCACGCCGTGTGGCATGTTGATGCCGCCGCTCCCACTCAGTCTCTCATAGCTTTGGCTCCAGCAAAGCCTCCTCCTGGCATGTGCCTTGACCAAGGCGAAGACCGCCAGGGCCAGACCGGCTGCCAGCAGCAGGGCAACGGGCAGAGCAGCTGAGGTGTGCTTCAAAGCCCGCGAGGACATATTTGCGTCCAACTCCTTGTGATCTCCAGTCCTGGACAGAGGAGCCTCCACACAAAGAGCTAGGGAAGAGAAAAAAAAAAGATAACACTTATACTGTTTTTTTTTGTTTTGTTTTGTTTTTTTTCCCCCCCACATCAAAACAATCCTGAAATGCTTTGGCTGGCTGGCATGTTTACCTGAGCGAGTGTCACAAACACAGCAGTTGGTGTGATTCCCTGCAGCCTGACAGCAGCGGGAGCAACGGTTCTCTACAGCATGGAGGGCGAAGTCTGCGTGACAGGTCAGACAGTGGTCAGGTCTGGGGCCGACGCAGTGCCTGCAGGAGCCGTCGCAAAGCTCACAGGTTTCCTACCAAACAGCAGCACCCGTCATTGCACAGCACATGATACACAGAGCAACACACTGAAAGGAGAGCAGAGTGGCTCAATAACTACTAGTCACTTCTTTCGTTACCCTTAAACATTTCCATCTTTTGTCATATAAATGCCAAAAACCTTTTGGGGTTTGATCAAAACCCTTCCAGTTTAACTGTGTATGTTTTAGATTTTGATCCAGCTGGAAAAGGAAAGTCTTTCCCCAGTCGTAAGTGTTTACAGTCTCTTAAATGATTTCCTCCAGGAATGCTGTGTGCATTAGAGCGCCATCTATCTTCTTATCAACTCTGACCAGCTTCCCTGTCCCAAAAAGCCACAAAGAAGAGAAGCATCCCCACAGCATGATGCTGCCACTGTGACATTTTAGAGCAGGGGATGGTTTATGTTTCGGACACACAAAAAATCTCCCATGCAGGCCAGAAATACTTGTTGGCCTCGTCACATAAGAGCACCTTCATGCACATGACATGTATAACTTACACACCTTATAACTTCTTTTCTTCGATAATAACTTAGTGCTTCATATTTTTCCATAAAGAACATATTTATAGAAGGCACGACTAAAAGTTGAGCTGTCAGCAGAGTCGGCTTCAGCTGTGGATCTCGGCTGCTTCTTTGGTGATTTTCAGAACTCAAGATTCTTTTTCATAACCAAACTCTGTTGTTCCAGAGTTGATCTTCAGGGTGATGCTTACAAACCTTCACAGAATATCTGTATTTATATTAACATTTAACTACATATGAAAAAAAAAAAAAAAGCAAAACAATATGTTGTTTCCTTTCATAATTATTCACTACTTTGTCTTGGTTTATCACATTAAATGCCAATAAAATAAAATGACGACCGTGGTTGTAAGCTGATAAATAACAATACTTTTGCAAGAAACTGTAGATTTACTTTACAGTAATGTTATTTATTTATTTATTTTTTAATCCTACAGATTCATGCTTGTAATTTTGTCTCTCCCACCAACCAAAATTTGAACAAGACAGCTTTTCCTGTTCAGGAAGAAACGTAATATTAAGCAGCCTTACAGAGCACTTCTGAACATTGTAAAGGTGAGCTCACCATTTCTGAAAAGTACTGCCCCTCTTCACAGCGTGGGTAGCAGACACTGTCCTTCAGAGTGCTACCCCAGTCGCACGTCAGGCAGCCTTGAGGCGAGGAGTCTGAAATCACGTGTACACTGTATAACTAATCTGAAAATCTTATGCAAATGGAGGAAAATTTCCTTACACACATTGACATATTATAAAGACAAACTCGATTCGACAATACGGCTTATTGTTCACTCGAACGGGAACAAAAGAAAAAAAAAATGCTACAGCTGGAAATGTCTGTACCTGTGCAGGTCTGACAGCTGGTATGGCACTGTTTGCAGAGGTCATTGACCTGATAGAAGCGGTGCGGGCAGCGTTCGACGCACAGCTTGGTGCCTTGCAGCTCCAGGAGGGGAGGGAGACAGGCCCGGCAGGACTCCGGCCCCGGCCCTGTGCACAACTCGCAGGACGGGTCACATTTTTGGCAGCGAGAGCCCTGTTTGTAATACCTGAAGAAACACATAAATGATAAATGGATAATTTGATTTAAAAAAAAAATACAAAAAAAAAAAAACACTATTCATCAAAAAGTAATTAGATACGTGTCAGATTATATGTGCAACAGAGAATCAGATGAATTAGGATCGATTTGGCTCCATATGTAGGAGTCCATCGGACACCCAGGGCTGCCAGCATGTAGCTTACCACCATCAGTGTGAAGCGCTCTCAAGTCCTCTAGTCTGGATAAAGTGCTATACAAGTACAAGCCACTCAGTCAAATTACATTCTAAGAATCTGACTTCAAAATCAGACACAAGCTGCGATATTTGGATCACAGCCTTTCAGTGCAGACTGAAAAAAAACAATCAGGTTGAGCTTCAGTTTTGTACCCGGTGGGGCAGTGGAGGACGCAGAGCTGGAAGAGCCGCAGGTATCCCACAGAGCAGGTCAGGCAGTCTCGAGGCGACGCCCCAGTGCAGCTGGAGCAAACATGGTCACAAGGCAAACAGAATCCCAGTTCCTGCCCGTCAGCTTCCTGCCTTGTGGAGTACGTAGCAGCAGGGCATTCATCCACACAGCTGCTGTCTGGAGGAGAAAATAAAGAACGGTGAATACCAGCTCATATGGAATCATTTCCATATGTTCTCTGCTACTGTTCTCTTGACCCGTTCTCAGCTCTCAGCTTCATTGTGTAATTTAAAAACAGGATTCAGCATCAATTGCTCATCTTTCCAACCCTTTAAAATACTGAAAAATATATTGTTCTTATCCTCGGCTCCGATAGAAATTTAGAAGAAAAAAAATGTCAATAAAAATAAATAAAACTGTACAGTAGATACACAGTGGTGTACAAAAGTTATCACATTTGTACACCACTGCTCTCCCACTAATCTGAGACCAACTCTCCCTCTCCTGATTTCCTCCCAACCTCATTTCTCCATCCTGATGGTCTAGCCAAATTCATTTCTAATAAACTCATTGGAAGGTATTTTCCTTTCATAAATTATGTTCTTGGGCCGTGTCTCCACAGTGTTTCCCTTGGTTAGTAGTCAGGAAGAATCTGTCTACACACTTTGTCCTTCCACTCAATTTTTTATTTATATTGTTGGATACAGCACACTGTGACCACAGGGCTTCTTTGGTAATTACTGTACTTGACAACTGCCAAGTCAGCAATCTTCCCCGTGATTCTCCCAGACCTAGAATAATATTTCTGCATTAAAAATCCTTCATTTTATGTAATTTGATTTTTATTTTTTTTCACAGTTCTGAATTTATAATGAGGAATCATGTATGGTTAAAAAAATAAAACATTACAAAACCAAGTCATCTTTCAAAGTTAAGTAGAAGAAAACTTTCAGTATAACAGCATGTTGTTATTAAGCCAAATGCAGAACCTGAGTGTGAAAAAGTTAAACATACCCTTGCAGCTATTGTAGACCTATCAAATGTAAACAGAAGCGAAATTCTTCAGAAATAGCAAGCATGTCGTTTCAAAGAATTTGCTGTGTAAAGAACTTGTTCATTTGACAAGTGTTATAGGCTGAGTTGGTTGGTTGGATCCTGAACCAACCAACCAACCTTTATTTAATGTTCAGTTGAGGTCTTGTGGTTTTCCACAAGACTTCAACTGAACATTAAATAAGGACATCCTCCCAAGACGGCAGCAACGTTGGAGCTGAAGATTTGTATCTGGTTTCTACGTAAGCGTATTGTTGTCATGGAAGAAAAATTTTTTTTTGAAGACCGTCACATTGTAACGTGACAATTTTAAAGCACAAATGTTATAATACATTGTGCAAACGTGACAATTATCTTGAATAAACTTGATAATAATATTGTATAAATGTAATATT